CTGCCTCGACTACTGCTCTCAGATAATCTCAACAAATGTTCTTCGTGGGAATTGCGATAACGATTACCCGAGACAAGATTAGAAACTATTAACAAACATCGATGAAGTTTCTAGTTTTATTGTGCTCGCAACGAGATGAACCATCGAAATCTGTCGAATGCTCGAAGGGAAACGGATGGAACGTTTCTAGGTTCCTTCCAAAATGTCCAACGACCAATAATACGAGCGAACAGCTTCGGGGCAATGGAAACAGTCCGGGCTTGCACAACAGTGTTGCCAGTAGCTTGGGTAACTAGCGTCGGCTCGGACGAGATCGAGCCAGTCAGAAGCTGGCGGCAATTATCGGAGCGGCGTGATCAAAAGCCTATTGATTCACTGATGCACCGAAATACATAGTTTCCACTTGAATGAATGCATAAGGCCAGTGGCCCGCCCCTCGCCGGGCAATCTTGATGCTTTCATTGCTGCTCAAAGACAGCGCCGTTTAACGATGTATCACGGCTGATTGGTCTCCCGTTTAACACCAGGTCCCTGTTTCCTCTATGAAGCTCGCTTTTGGGAAGGACGAATTCGGACCTCGGAGAGTACAACATGATTTCTGAGACTTGTGTTGTTTCATCGATTTGGACGGTAATCGCGGAGGAAAGATGCTTAAACACTGGATAACAATTTTGGTTTTGTCAGGTGAAGTTGGAGCATATTTCACACAGTAAATAGTATATGACTGTTAGTGATCAGCCAAGTGAGATGGAATCATTCCTGATCAAATGGAGAACACATAAGTGGGCTCAGACAGATGAGTAACGTGGCGCAGTAGTCGAATCGGATACCTAGAGATTCCAGTAGAATAGGATCGTTATTAGCCAGACAGAGTTGCGGTCTTTGCAGACGAATTTCTAAGATCTTCACTTAATACTTACAATAATATTAATATTTGATGCTATTAATGTTGGTAATATTTCATTAGAATTTGTAAGATACTGCCTAGAGAGATCAGTAGAATAGGATCGTCATTGGTCGGACATGTAGAATTGTGTCTTTTGTAGGCAGTTTTGTAAGATGATAATTTACTATGTATAATATTAGTAATTTGTATGTCCCTAATAATATTAACAATACGTCACAGTAATTTATGCGATAATATCTGCAAATTCCAGTAGAATAGGGTCGTTATTGATCAGACATCTAGTGCCGCGTCCTTCGTTGGAATGTTGTTGTAACGTTGAATAGACTCTTATCGGATAATTAACGTGGCCTTAACCACTACGTGGACTATTGGAATAGGAACATTCTTGACCAGGCAAGTGAAAGTTGACTACACATTAAAAAGATCGTTAAATGTTTCCTTACCCTCAGATCTTGTACGGTAAAGTGACCGTACAGAGAACACTGGAAAGTTTTGCTCGCGGTCGACCAACATCTTAAATAAACAGTTGTCAACTTCTATTCTTCTTTTTTTTTCGGGTGACCTTGCTGTTCAATCTTGCAACTTGTTAACAAAGTTAAACAAAGCCCAATTAAAATTGTATTCTCTGCAATCCGGCCCACGTTGTTCAGAACCGCAAACATTGTAACGAAAGCTTATTCTACGAGCGAGGCGCGTCTCTCTTCCTTGGGTTTACTTTCCGTTTTATCTTCTATTTGTACACAGCTTTCGGCTGCAACAAGACGGAAGGTGAGTTCCTTCTCGAACCACACGCGAAGCAATCTCGCGAGCCGGATATACTCGCGAAAGAATAACCGGGAAACGTGGTTCGAGAGAACGGAAATCGTTAGAACGACCCGCTAGCGATTTTTCGATCGAAATTCATGGTTTGTCGAAGTGGTTGGAAAAACAATATTATTGACCGGGAAAAAATTATATTACACGCAACAGTTACTCCTGTGCATCGAGATACCGTATGAAGTTTATTGTTTACTGTGGCGTGTGCGAATTGTTGACTCGTGTTATTACTAAATTGCGGATTTTATACATGTATCATGTACAAGGTTGTGCAAAACTTGGTACAGTCAAACTTCTTGTAAAGTTCACCGAGATTTTTATTTTTCGTTGACTCTTGCAGTGGTCTTATAAGAGTAAATGAATTTCTATTTTACTTCAGTCCTTATACAGAGTAGTCTGTAACTGGTAATACAATCGGAAATGGAGTGATTCTACATAAAGAAAGTAAGTAAAAAATGTAAAATAAAATTTTTTTGTTGGAAGCTTTGTTTTCGACTTTGTAAATCTGATATGCCTGCAATCATTATTGTAATAAGTAGAAATGGAGTGCAAAGAACAGACGCTCTAGCCAAGTCCTATTGAATTGCACGTGTAGCAAATAGATTTCCAAAGTCGATTCTTTCGAAAATGGTGTCCCAAATGAAAAAATTTTCTTCTATATTTTCGACTTATTTTGTTTATGTGGAGTCACTCCTTTTCTAGTTGTTATCAGTTACCGACCGCTCTGTATAAGTTCACGAAAATCGAAGTTTACAAAATTGTAATTAATTGATTTTGAACATTCACAGTTTAGTTATTACGTTGGGACGATATTCATATCAATAACAACACAAATGGCATGCTTCTACGTGCACGCGGGATCGTTATTCAAATGTCAATCACGTTATACCCACGTATAGGCAGTGAAATAGAAGCAATATCAAGATGTGGACATTCCTGCCCACTGAAGTCGAAGTCTACGTTAGTAACGTTGATAGCCACTAACGGAGATCGACTATGAAATGTCAAGCAATATAGGATCATTAATTAGTTCGAAACACACCGTTCTACAGCAACCATTGTTCCCATGTCCCTTGCGTTTTCGTAGACACACTGGTACTCGGTGAAGTGAATAGCGATGGCAACGAGGCAGTTCCGATTCCGCTCGAATTAATTGATTGTTAGCAATCCGACAGGCGTTCGCGCATTAAAAATTCAATCATACGCGCGGATACGTGCTCGACTGCAGGAAATGCGGGGGAAGTGTGACCGGTGGAAAATCTCGATGAATCTGCAAGCATAGAGGTGTCTGTTTGCAACTTTTTAGAACTTTCTTTTGCAACACGAAATACACAGTAGAACTGTAATATAAATAGTAGAGCTTGTGCACTCGCTTAACTCCTTTGTTCCCATTGTTTCCATATGGCCACAAACTATAAATTACGAAATACAATATATGTATCAGGTATTTTTCATATCTGAGAATATATAATAGTTTCTTCTAGTCTTGTATAGACAGTGTTCTACACATTTGAATGTGTATTTGAAATTGATCCTCTGGTTCATTCATTTGACGGAATTCAAGCGTTGAGTATTGTTACAAATGCAATAGTCACTTACAAAACTGTAATTTCATTCAAACACGTTAAGTCGGTTTGATTCATGGTAAGGAAAATTGGGTTTTATTACGAATAATAATATTATGATGAAAAGTATCATATACAACTGTGATGAAAGTAAAATCGTTAAATGGTAACGAATTAAAAATGCCATTAGACGGTTTCAAAGTGTTATAATGTTCTTGTGAATCATTTATATGACTCTCATATACACAAAAATAAAAGAAAATATTTCTTTGGTCATTTTTAAATAATTTGGGAATGAAAGGGTTAACAAGAGAAATACAGAAAGGCATTCGATATTACAAATTCCGAAACCAATCGTCCGAATTTTCCTTTCATCGTTTTTAATTAAGCATTCCAGCGAACAGCATCGAATACGTGCACATGCACTCATTTAGCAGCGACACTAAACGCCAAGTAAATATTGAACAATGAATAACACATGGCCGAAGGGGTGAGGGGGGTGCACTCGTTTAATCGCGATATTAAACTGCAATTAAACATCCAAGCACGTTCACGTGCGCCCAATAATGCTACGATACGTTACAAATCTTTAATTACCCGGTAATATTGTTCTGTCGAGATTAATTTTAAACGAGAATCGTACGTGTCTCTGTCCATTTGAAGTAAACTGTATCAAATATTCCGACGCGTATCAGATAACCGTCCACGGAGAGAGGGTGGAAAAAGGGACGGAATGAGGAAGAGGAGGAGCGAACGTTGGAATACGAGCCTGTAAAAAAAAACCGAACAAGCGGCGTACCACGCATACCGAGGACTCGGTGTCGATGCATCGTCGATTTGATACGATACGATGATGCAACGAATCAACCGTATATAAATTCACAGTTACCGCGGAAGATGGGGCCGCGTCCAGGCGGGCAAACGTGATATAAACGCTGATTCCCTCATACGCGGTTCTTGCGCGCGTAAATCTCACGATTTACGAGCGAGCGTGTGGCTCCGCCGTTCAAGAAAAAGATGGCCGTAGCTGAGACCGCGAGAAGGGGCGGGGTGAGGGCATACCGACAAGCGTGTTCCGTTGGATGCTACTCGTTGTTGCTCCTCGACGCGTGAATTTCAAACGTTATAGGATTCGAGGTGAGGAATATCGAGTGGCGTCGTTTTGGACGAATCGTGGACGGAATCGCGTGACTGACCACGATCCGTGGAATGCTTTAGGATTCACGTTAGACGTGACACTTGCGATTTATAAGATAAAAGTGTGGGACACTTTCAGGGTGGTTTCTACTTGCCAAACTAACAATAAGACGAAAATCAAGGATGAAGGAAGTTGTAATATGGTAGTTAATTGTTGTAGGAATGGGATTAAAATACGCGTGGAAATATTAATTTTTAATATTTTGAAGGATTTTCGGTTTTGAAGTACGTTGTTGTATCTGCAGTAAAGAATTGTGTAACGTGTAAATGATTAGAGGTATTGGTTGTTCTTCAATTTAACGCGACAGAAGCCGTTCATTTTCATATCCATGTACTCCTTTAAGAATAACGACATTGCTCCTGGAGAATCTGGCCATGGAGTGGAGAAAACAGTGGTGTTTTCTGGTAAAAGGACTGTGTTGTACAGCACGACAATTTTGCCACAGAATCTCGGAGACGCACAGTTTCATTCTGTTGACACACCTTTATACAGTTCCAATATATATATTTTGCAGACGATGAAAACTCGTTGGTTCACGGGATCGTCACGGAGGAGGGTCTTTTCGACGGGACAATCTTCACCGCCTCGGACGAGATTTACATCGAACCGGTCAGCAGATACTCGCCGCTCGTGTGCCATAGGCAGGACGGCGATGAAACGGACACCACGGACGCTGTGCAACATCACACCATTGCGTATCGTTCTGTGGACGTTAGCATACCACCGCGGAACGAATGCGCCAGTGAAAGATTCCGAGAAACAACTCTGGACGAATTGAGGTGAGCGAAGACAGTTTTAGTTTTCGGTGGGAAGGTGAATTAGTTTGTATTATCAGAAACAGACCTACACCATTGACGTTGATACATCGGGTCTACCGATAAGTAATTCACTATCTTTCGTAAATTCAGTAATAATTTTCTGGGAAATTAAAAGCTTATCCCGTTTTGGTGATATTTCCTTGACATTTATTCAGTTATTTACCAGCAATTCTCAGAGCGAATTATGAGTAAATTGTCTTAACTTGATATCTTCGGATGTCTTCTTTCACTGTTGGTATATCATTGATATTTGCCCCAATTCTTCAACATTCACCGCGATTACAAGAGGAAATGAACAGAAAGGTATTTGGAATTCAAATTATTTTACCAACTTACAAGGGAAGGCACGGAAGTGTTCCGCTCCGATTTTGATGAAACTTCGTAAGTCTGTTATGCAGTCAAAAATAAGGGATACGTATTTTTGTTATCGGCTGAAACGCGACTTTAAGGGGTACAATCACCCCTCGAAGTTTCGACCCGAAAGTACTATCTCGAAAACCAGAGGAGATACATGAAAATTTCTAATGGACGAGGTTTACGTTTTTTTATGTAGAATAATACGGTGCTAATAAATTGTCCAAAATATAATTTGTTTATAACAAAAAAATTTCGGATCGAAACTTCGAGGGATGGTTTCACCCCTTAAAGTCGCGTCTCAGTGGATAAAAAAAAATACGTATCCTTTATTTTTGAGTACTTAACAGACATACAAAGTTTTATCAAAAGTCGGAGGGGGATACTTCCGTGCCTTCCCTTGTTAGTGGAGTACTTATTATATTAAATTACTGAAGCCACCTGTCTTACCTTCAGTGTTCACGTTCCACAAATTTCACGAGTCAGCTATACAGTTTCTTTCCCTCGTCTGATCAAAATCGCCCCTATTCTCCTTGCATATCCAATCACACATCCGCATCCCGATAGGCAAACAGTCAGTTTCCGCCTGTCTAAATGAAGTTCGCTCCGGTTTTTCGTGTCGGATAAATGACTTACCTGTTCTACTTACCTCTGTTTTACACACCCAGCCCCTAACAAAGTTATTCCACGCTGCAACCGGGTCACGATCCCTCCAAGTACACAGAAATACTTCCATCGAAATTATACGTAAATCGAGCCGAATTTATCCCTTGTAACCAGCAGTTCATATACAGTCCTCGAGGCGTGTGTGTGTGTGTGTCTGTGTATCATGGACGAGTATAATATCATCTTGTTGGCCCGGGCGCGTAATACATTCAATATTCCCGGTACAAAGTTAATATCAACCGGTGTGACGTGGCCCCGAGACCGGTTTAATAGAATTTCAAATGGCACTAGGCGCCGTGCCGCCACCAGGGGGTCGATTTCCTCCTCCCTCTCTCGTTCTCTCTTCCTATTTTTACGCGGCTCGATAGCCAGGCACGAGCTACCCTCTCTGCGAGCTCTGGGAAAACGGCTTTACTGGGAAACCCGGTCAAAGTGCCGCCTGCTATTAATCGCGAAACGTCATCGGTTCGGTGTTAACGGAATTAGTGGTAGTGAGGGGGAAGTCAGTGGCGAGGTGTTGGTTCAAAGGGACCCTTCGGAATGGCGAGACCGATGATTTTCGTGGGATGTGTGCGCGCGCGAGCGCGACGGCACGCGGCCACAATTAGAGAACACGGTCGGTTGGAGCTGATTTCGGACGGTTCTTGGCATCGATTAATGATAACGTTCACCGCCCCTCCCCGTCTACCCCAACCTTCGCACGGCAACAGTTTTCGGATTGGGATGGTACGAGTTTCTCCAATTACCCCGTTGCCCGAGATAAACAGTTCGAGGACGGGCGTTACTCTCGTAAACTTTCGTTCGAACGATCCGAATGGCTGTCACGTGACCGGAATGTGCTACCCGGTTGTTGTCTCGGAGTATTGCACGTATACAATGGAGGGACCCCGTTGTCCACTTTGTTTCCGAACGTGATTGTGTTCGCGTGCGTCTCGAGACAGAAGCATTTCCAACGTGCAGGCACGGAGTGATTGTGATCGTGTGTATGTTGAACGGCAAGCGATAGAAATTCTTTTCTTGATTAATTTAATTTTAACAGTATCAAATATTTTATTCAGGAACATACGTAAACTGTCAATCGTAAGTATTAGGATAAGGGGTTTGTGTGTGAGAAAAAGGTAATGTCTTGTGGTAATCACAATTATATTATTCTGTGTTCGGTTGAGCGTCAACCTCTTGAGAGATACTTACACATGTGTGAGGTTAGTTTTTCTTTAAATCAAACGAGATTTCTTACGATACAATGACTATTACTGTGACTAAATATTCACTAGAAAATTCTCCAATAACAGAAAAAGATATCTTGTCCACTGATTGACATTAATATTAATCAATACATCTTAAAGAAGTGCTGCTGAAAAAAACCATTTCCTTCTGGTCTCACTAAATTCGTCTCCAAAGAGGTTAACACCGCCTAAACAATATTTCTTTCAGACTTTCAACTGTTTCGTAATACCAACATTTATAAACTGGAATGTAGGAGACCAGGATAAGGGGTGTCTGTAACAAACCATAGCAGCACGGTTGTACAAAAGAATCGTTAAAAAACAGAGCTACAGAATGATTGTAAGGTGGGTGTTAGATGGATCCCGCGGGTTCAGACGCAATCTCGCGGTAAGCGGGGAACGTGCCAGGGGGGAGGCCGGAGAAGTTTCGCTGAGAACGATTACGGAAGTAAATTGGCTCCCCGGGGCTGTTACGTATTATTCGACATATGTCACCCTTATCTACGGTACCCGCACCACCCGACGATTTCTCTCGTTTATCCGTGGAGCTGGCGGAGCTCTGATCAGCTCACCGTGAGGGATTCACTGGTCCGCGTGCGCTGCTTCCTCTCTGCGCCGTTCCCATCCTAACCGTTCACAGGCGAAAAATCGTTTTCAGGACGAACAGGACGTGGAGTGGATATCTCGGGGACACAATGCGGCCGCTTTATCAACACCAGAACGAGGGGAAGTCCCGGGCGAAACCGGGCTTCTATCCGAAGGATGCGAGAAAGAAAGACCCCATGGCGAGCTCGCACAATTTGGAGCTGCTCGACAGGTAAAAATTTTTGTATCGACCTTGCGCGGATAGAGGGGAGAATCACGACCCATCCGTTTACAATTCGAATCACCGGAGAAGGGACGCTTGAGACATTGAGAATCATCGGTCTTTTGGACCCCTTTGTAAACACTTCAGCGTGACGAATTCACCTGTCTGGGAGATTACCTTTTTCCCTACTTCGATCTACTGACCAAACGTTGAACAGTTACTGACTGACTTTTAGTGCTTCTACTCTCTATCGACTAACTTATTTCAGGTCACCTATTTTACTAGAAAGACACCTATCGAATGACTGGATCTTTTCTTGACTGATGAAACGTTTACTTATTCTACTTGTCCATATAGCAACGGACTTGTGCTACTTGGGACTGTTTAATAATAGATTCGCTTTACTTGTCTGCTTAAAAATTTTATGTATCGTGTCGTTCAGAAAGTTCTTTTACATCGCTATACGGTTTTGTATCAAGGAGGAATAAAGGTCGAGAGGAAAATCCATCTAGTACGAAGTTGAAGGGTTCTTTTTGCCGAACCTATCAACGTTGTGTATTACTTGTACTATGAAATGAATTGAGAGATGAGAAGCTTGTAAATACTAATGTGATATGAATTGAAAAATCTAGATTGTAAGCCTGTTCCCGAAAACGCAACCGTCCGAACAATCCAATACTTCCGTCTGAAGTAGGCAAGCTTGTTTATTCAATAGTTTTGTTTGGTTTCTAACTACTATCTCGTTCAGAGATGACTCTATTCCGCTTGCCTACTGCCCAACTAGTCGTTTACACAGCCATCGTGCAATTAATTGATTTCTTCCTCCACCACGTCGGTATGGTTAGAAGCTCTTAAAAACAGCATGTTCTGTATAGACTCTAAAAGCTTTACACGTTCGTTCATTCACGATCAGACATTTTTTCCATTCCTCCCCCTGTTACTTTCGTCTTCCTCCCGTCGAGTTTAACGCTTCCACTCCGGTTCCATTTACCTCATCCCGGGCTGAACACTGTCGATGAAATATTCCAGCCCTCGAAAGCAGCGCCAGCTACCCGAGGGTGGTAGCTCCAGCCCGGGCGAAGAAAAGCGCAATGGTTACTTATCGTCCCCGTCGACGATCCCGCCGGAATGTTTGCCGTGCGATGCTTGCGCTTCCATTTATAGAGCACACCTATTCCCGACAGAGAAAAGCCAGATTATCTGACCGAACGGTGGGGGGACGACCGCATAGCCGATGAAAACGTCAAAAATCGAAAGCAAACACCATTATCGCCGGTTCCAATTTAACGTTTCCTCCGACTAGGTTATCCTTATCTGGGGCCGTATTTCTGCTGGTCGGCTTCATTCAAAAAGATCGCTCGATTTGTTACTCGACTGTTAGTCACCTACCCGGACGAGGCCAATATTCCACGCGGGCAAGAAAGAAGAAATTTATTTTTGCTGGAAAATCTCGATTTTAACATTCCGCGTGCACGGCTTTGAAGTCACGGAAAAAAACTTTCTGTCATTTCGTGGTCGAAGCTTTCGGTTTAATTCGAGGAGAAATTTAATTTCCGAACAGCAACGAGAGGGGTGTTATAGGGACGTGCGTGTGTATGCAGTGGAACGGTCTCGTAGCGGAAACGTGTTCCTGAAATGGAATCAACGGAAAAATATGCAATGGCACGGTATCGACGGTAATCTCGTTTGAAACGGAATAAAGTGAAACGTGTCCCGTTAAATAGTACCGTGTGACGATTATTTTCCAGTCGCGAAAACATCGCCGTTATGTTTACTCGAATAATCGCTGAAGATTACAGTGAATCATCGATGAGTGCTCGAAGACTTCTCTGCACTGAATATTCGAACGTCATCCTCATCACTGGGCGCTTGAATTGTTCCACGAGAGACCGCACTATGGTGGGAATAACGTCTGAACAGTCAGTGCGGAGAAGCTTTTGAACATTCATCGATGATTTACTGTAGTTAAATAAAAGATTCCTTTCGTCCACAGGTTGTACAGAGCCAGGTATTCCAGAGTACTTCGTAAACGTACCTCTGTGGACCCGAAGAAAACCACTTGCATGCTGTATCTACAAGCAGACCACACGTTCTTCGATCATTACAAGTCCGAGGAGGCATGTATCGAGGTAATGACTCGTCACGTGCAGCGTGTGAACTCGATCTACAGGTATACTGGTAAGTATACATCACTGATGCATTAAATATACTTGAAATATCCGGCAATAGATTGTATTAGGTGTACAAATTAATTCGTGACCTACTATTCATAGATTTGTTGTTTATTTACAAGAAACCGAAATATAATTTCTACAAATTTACGTCGTTTCTCGGTCAGTTAGCGATGCCCCTGTTGAAAAAATGATGGCAGTTTTGAGTCGATAGTTAATTGTGGTGTGGGGGAAAAAATTAATTAGTACACCTGATATTATTAGCATTGTATACGCTAGTCTATAAACACGGCGACAGCTCGAAAAATCAATGAAAAACTTGTTCATGGGGCCATAGAAATCGGCAACGATTTCGCCCACTGACTAACAAGTGTGTGCGTCTTCTGTGTCTCATTCCGCTGTAATAACTTCGCGAAGCAATTAAAACTTTCCCCTGTCTGGACCTTCCAGTTAAACTAACTTTCTGCCAGCAGCGAATGGGGGGGGAGGGGGGGGTGAATGAATGTTCCTTAGCTTCGGTGCGGTTCCTTTCTGCTCGGCGACCGATTAATGTCAGTTTCTGTGTCTGACGTTGACCGATTGATTCCGCAGAACTTCATCGGTGGCCCGCTACAAACGACCTAACGCGTAAACTTTGAACGATTGTAATCATGGAAGAAATGAAATGAAAATCGGGGGCAGGATCGTGGGCTGGTGCCAGTCTTTGAAATCACTTCAACCTCCTCCGTCTTTATTCGTCGAACCTAACTTCTTTCTGACCATCTCAGAAGATTCTAATTTAGCCTGTAGAAGGATACGTGTCTGTCTGGCCGATGATGGGTATATACTACTTACACAGCCACCTTCGATCCGCTGGAAAAATCGCGAATAGTAACACACAACACGAAGTTCAACCGCGTCTGAACAAACACTGACCTATACTACTTGCTTCAAGAAAACGATTTAATTCTTTTCACTTGGGTTAAAAGCATTCCGTAATTTCATTGCCCACTCTATAGACCAACGGTGGGCAAACTTTAAGACAATATTGGGCTAAATTTTCATGTTAATAATCTACAGTAGTATAGCATGTACCAATATTAAAATATTTTATTTCTGTGACTCTGGAACATTTGAAAACGTGTGAAAAGTATTACATATGGCTCTTACTATCCAAGATCTTGTCCAGCCTTGTTACAAATTCATAATCTCTGCCATTGGTATATTTGTCTGTTCGCGAAGTGGCACATTCTACTCGAGGCTCACGACAACAGGATTGAAGCTCCTGCCCAACACGACCGCTGCTTAGTATCGGTCCCTCGTCACTTTGTGGGTTAACCGGGGGAACAATCAGACCCGTCGATCTTCCCCTACACGCACGGGTACAGAGAAGTGAACTGTGGAAATCAAGGGTGGACAGAACGTTCCTGAAAATCTCATTTGCCGGGCGCGGGCCGCGAATATTAAGCACGAGAGCCACGAGACGACAACCTCTCTGTTTCCTCGCACGGGCCAGAAGGGCTTTAAACGCCGCACCACCTGCCGTAACAACCGGAAAATATTTGTGTCTCGTGACTGAGCCGTGTTTAACGTAGCGTGACCACCGAGTACGCACGCGCGCGGTGGAGAGGATCCAGGCCAATAGTGCATTACTTAGAATTCCCTATCTCTTCCGTCGTGCGATTCGTGGATAAAGCCCCAGTCTTCCGGCAACGTTTCCGCCTCGTCTCTTCCCTGGGCCACCCCTGGTCACCCATCGTGGAATATACTAGGAGAAACGGTACCGTTCGAGCTTTCGGGGGGACGATATGGTCGGTACGATTATCGGGGCGCATCTCTACACGCGAGCATTTCGGATGACCGATCACCTAGTCCACCCCTCCCACGTGTACCCCCCCCCCACACGGAAACGTCGGCCTCATCCCTTTGTTCCCGGATTAAACGACATTAACTCTCTTCCCCCGAATCGCGATATGCGCTGCGAGCCGTCCACGTAGCTAAACGCTCTTGTCTGACGAGAGATCCGGAATTGCGGACGATTAAGGGGACGCGCCACCTCTTACCCCGTCTGCATTGCAAAGTTGTGTCCCGGTGATTGCCTCGTCTCTCGATCTCCGAGGGTTGCCGTAAGTAAGTTGCTGTGGTATGCACCCTGACAGTGGGATTTGTCGTTAACATTTTGTACGTTCTGGAGTACAGTAAATCCCTGATGAGCGTTCGAAGGTTCTTCGGTATTGACAAGGAGGGGCACACAGGTGTAACACTGATTTTTTAGTAAAGTTTAGCACAGCGAGAGAGCTTCAAATGATATTTGTTTGAGCCACGTATGATCGTTAGTTTAGGAAATATTTAATGTTAAGTGCCGAGGAACCTTCGAGCACTCATCAAGGATTTACTGTACTTCGACAAATTCGTGGTCATACACGCGGACGTCAGTGGTATTTCGAAGTTGGAGTTAGTTGATATAAACAGTTGGAATTGCGGTTTGGTATTTTAGTCGTGAAACGTGGGTGGTTAGCCTGAAACAGGAGGCTGATTAGACGGAATTGAAAGGGTTAATGTTCTATTTATTTGTGAAATATGCCAGGTTTTTAAGTGAAATATCGCGACGAACTCGGTACGAACTTCGACGATCACGGCAATGTAATGCCTTCTTATGCACTCGGACCGTTATTTTTCGTGCACGTGATCGCGTTATTCTTTTTGCGGCCGCGGAAATAGGAAAACCGCCGCGATAATGCTATCTGAACGGTGGTATCGGCCAGTTTCAGCGTTAGTCATTACATACGTAGAACGCCAACCGTCGCATTTACGATCCTTATCTGCGTGGCTCACGTGAAAGAAGAAAAAAAACTTTATTTCCGAGCGGCATATCCGTGCGACAGCTGTCACGCGAAGCGTTACCCCTCTATTTGTTTGCCGCGTAATTTTTTACGACATCGGCACGTGAACCGCGAACGCAGGTTACGGAAGTATTCCGCACGTATCACGCGACGATACGCTCGAAATTATTTATTAATACGAGGAATTACTCTTTCGTTCTTCGATCCGCCTTGTAAAACAGTTCATTGCGAATTTATTCGTTCTTAACGAGGAAGCATATTGAAACCAGACATACGCCGATTTTAATGAAGCTTGTATGGGAGACAGCTTTCCAAAAAATATTTCACACATATATTTTTTATTATGCATGTTAAGGGTATGGTGACAACTTACAAAGTTGAGGGACGAAAATATGTTTTCGGGAGTATTTCGGAAACTAGAGGGTCCAGGATTTTGGTAGACTGTGTGTTTTTGAATAGAGAATTTAGTCATATAAAAAATGTATGAAAGAAGTTATTTGTTTCAATAATACCCGTAAAAATCAGATTTTTTTGTTTAATTTTCTCATGTGACTAAATTTTCCGATTAGAAATACACAAATCAGGGAAAAAATCCAGAAAATATATTTCCATCCCTCAACTTTGAGGGCAGTTATCACCCCTATAACATGGAATATGGCCAATAAAAAAGAATACGTGTCAAATATTTCTTGGAGAACTATCTCCCATATAAGTTTCACTAAAACCTGTGTGCGCGGTTTCGGCATGATCCTCCGTAAGAACGATACCCGACGAAAATCGATCTTCCAGTACTAGCTACAAACTCCGTTATTCCAAATTCCCAAATATTCAGTTATCCGAATCCACTGAACTATCCACTGACATTGTTAGTAAAAATTCAAGTTTACCAGCGTCTGACCACACATAGCTACCTTCCACTTGTATCGATCCCCTAATTAAGATTTCAGATCTTCTTGTCCTCTTGTCTGATCAGAAACAATCCGATACTACTTACCGCAATTACCATAAATCCTCGTTAAACTCCTCGGTCTAGTTACCAGAAGGAACGTCTTAAATCGTGTGTAACACAGTCGCTCGCTAGCGAGCGTATGCATGAAACTTCGTCGTGTCAATAAATGTTCCAGCTACGCTACCTTGAACTTCCCCACGTTTGTACTACCCCCATCTCCTGAGCCGCGCGCTATTTGCATTATTTAGCGTCCCTAAGAAGACCTAGGTTGAACTTCCCCGTTCGGCGGTTCTGATGTTTTCGTCGTCGTCGTAGTCCCGCCCTTCTACCAAGCTGGTGCGCACCCAAGCTGATTAATGTAGAGCATTAAACACGGATACAATGGACTCCGTCGTTAATAACGCGCGCCCGAGCACGTGTGTATATTCCACGCGAGATATGGATGTAACGACGCAACCGGGCTAATGTTTACGGTGAAACGGTGACGTGGGATCGAGTCGCTTATGGACACGGGTCCTGGGCGGATTGTCTAACAGCCACAGTTCAGGATAGACTTAATTCGTAATTGTTAACGTCTGGTTATCGTCAAAAGTCTAACAGGTGTAACAACCAAGATCGGTGAGACAGGCTTTGTGAAATAATTATGAGTCTCTAATCGAGTAGGAGTTATTCTCGAGGATATTTACTATACGAAGAGAACACGCCAGATTCATTTATTAGTGATAATTATCGTATTCACTCTAAATTTAGATGGAGTCACATGTCTATAACTAGCCCGATTCAAATCCAATTTGTTTTCGGGGTTAGCCAACCGTGGAGCCTAGAAATGAAATTTAGTTTCGGTTTCCTTTTGCGAATATTAGATGCATTCATTGTACACATCTTTAGGTACTAAAAAGACAGATGGAGGGTAGTCGCCTAACGAGTTTACCGATCCGACTCTCGTTAATATGTTTATGCGAGTATGTGTGTGCGAGTTCTTTTTACGCCTCGAGAAGTCACGATGGATCGACAACGTTCCGCATAAATTCGTCGTGGGTAGAAAAGGAATCGCGATTGCGTGACGCGGTGTCGTTTTTCCAGTTTCGATTGGTATTCCCGCGGAGTAGGTGTTTGATTAAATGCTCTCCACCACGCGACGACCGCCGCCGCAAACCGTTCGTAGGGAGAGGGTGGGATACGTTGATCACTGGGAGGGAAACCCGAAAATTACTCGTGTCTGGGAGCCCCAGTGTGATTTTCGTTATCAGCTATCAGTTACCTACACGCCGCGTAGTTTCTCTCAAATCCTATGAATTTTGCGGTATCGACCACCACCGCGTATATTCCCCGTCTGTGCCGCTGCAATGAAACTCTCTCTCTAATTTGCAAAACCTTAGGAATTTCCGTGATTCACGTTCATTCGATCCGTTCCCGGAAATTGGTATAGTTTCTTGGGGCGAATCGATGCAAAATATGTATGACGACTGTTATGAATAAGATGACGGTGTTTTATTGGCTCTTTTGCAGATTTCAATCAGGACGGACAACCTGATAACATCAGTTTCATGATAAAACGCGTGAAAGTCCACGGTGAGGATGCTTTGACCGATTCGTCGTACAGGTTCACGGGCACGTATGGAGTAGAAGAATTCCTGGAACTTTTCTCCGGTAAGTGGACCGTTTTATTTTCCTCGTTCTCGACTCTCCTACGACCTTGGAAATCAATCAACGAGTACCACGAAGGTCCTAGTGCCTTTAATCGAATAACTGAACGATCCACAGGAACCTTTATGATACCCCATTATTATAATAATTCACGTCTGACCAGGAGTTGACCCATTCTTCTCTTGTATCCTGGGGTATCCCCACTTCGATTACCTACTATTAGTTACCTACAATTACAAGAATATTCCATTTACCTGATCAGCAACGTGTCCTTTCACTTGGCTGACCGAACCTAGACTTATTCTACTGAATTTCCCAATACAGACTTCATTCCAGCCATCTCGTTATTAAATGAACGATTGCACTTATTGATTCCTAACGTTTATACTTTATGCCTGACCGGTCGCAGGCTATTCTACTTACCCGACTGTCAACCCTGAATCGGTCCATGGGCCGGTCACAATCGCCTCTCCGCCAGCTTTGACGTCCAAAAGCTTTTGCCTCCCTTACCATCTTCGTTACCTAATGCCACGGTTAATAAAGAGGCAACGAAGCGAGATTACAGGGATTAAAGCAAAGCACGCGATGCTGTACGAAACCGACCCGATTCTCCTCTGCACTCGCCACGAAACCTCTTCCAGTTAATCGTCTTTAGTATCCTTTTCTACGATTCCTCTCGCTTCTGGTCAACCGCTACCTCGAACGAGTAGAGCTTCTTTCCGGGAGGCTTTTGATTTATAGGCTTGATTTATGTTCTTTCCGCTCTACGAACTAGTATACGGTGGAAGGCTCCTCTGACGGATCTTGTGGGAAGAATAGTGGTTCGTGAATTCGAATCCGTTCCTTTTTCGATCGTCCTTCCGATCGAGACGGTGTGTAAATAGCACAAATATTTAATCAGTCCCCTCGAACACCTTTCATCGTGACGTCTATTCATGGGGGTTGGGAATCGCGAATAGGTAACCGTGATGCATTCAACCTCCCATGAAATGAACCTAAAGTTTCCGGACAGCCGAGATTAATTATTACTGGGAGTCACATCTTCAACGCTAATGAGTCGCAGATCAATGGGGTCGGGGGAGTTCCTGTGAGTTAGGGTTATTGGGGTCATGATATATCCAGTTTGCCTTCGACGTTCCTTCGGGCTGATTTAAGCCCGGTACTTTGTCTCAGTCTGTCAATAGAGCACACGCGCTATACCCAACGCTCATCAGACTCCGTGAATATTTCTCTCCGCCACCTTTCAGTCCACCTCGCTAGCAACGTGTCTTCTCTAAGTTGCTCAATAGCCAATTAAACAGGTTTGAAGTCGTATACGATCGCCGTTCACGAGGCACGCCTTGATTCGATAAGGAAAACCGTGAGTTCCGATTATAGAATTAATGAGTGTAAACATTTACATTTATTATGGCAAGCCTTTAAATTGAAACATTTCACTATCGTTTTGGTTGAACAGTGAACAATAACGATTGAAAGGGATAATAGTAGCTGTGACATGTTACAAGGAAAATCGATGGGAAAATGGAAGGAAAAATCGACGAAGATGACAGTACCAATGAGGAAAGGATAGCATGACTGTGATTGAAGAAAGATCTGAAAGAAAGAAAAATGTAAAAGGAAGAAGAATTTGAAAGAAAGAAAAATGTAAAAGGGAGAAGAATTTGAAAGAAAGAAAAATCAGGAAGGAGTGAAATTATCTCGATAACGTATCCCTGGACAGACCACGAGCTTCGGTCGACGCTCGGCCATGTCAGACTGCTTATGAATATTATAATTATGTTCCACTGATGCAATCCATTATCGAGTGCCGTCAAAACGTTACTATGAATTATGCTCAGTACATCGGTCCACGAGGTTTGAGTTTGTGTTGTCTGTGATAATTACGGAATTTTCGGGCACAATGTTTGCAGGTTAGCGGCGATAATTAGTAAGCGGGATAACGAAGCTTATGCTTCTGCTTGTAAACCGCCTCCCCGGAAACATACTATTCTCCCAACTAAAACGGGGGGGTTTGTAGCTTGAAAAACTTACTTTGTGCGTTACAGTATGAATTCATGGTTCGTTAGGTAAAGTCAGACTAGAGTGCTCACTTTAATCGCACTATCCGATAGTACATATCCATTCTACTTATCAGATTTCAGCTATATTGCAATATACATGTCAGATCAATTGTTGAGCTGTTTTACTTGACTAATCGAGACCCGAGTATTGTACGTGTCAGAATATGGATAAGCCATTCTACCTGTCCTGGTTACGAATATGGGCTGTTCTGTGGGTTCAATCAGAATTCGACCTGTTCTACTTGGCGAACAAGAGGACCCGTTCCCTTTGTTTGATTAGGAGACATTCTACTAGAACGTATATACGTATGTACTATTCCACCTCACTGTCGAGCAATTATACAGGGTATCTCACCTAACGCAAGCACCTTTAGTATCTCACTTGCTTTTAATTAGCAAAAAATTTATTTTAACGAATGTTCAATGCGATGTAGATCAACTTCGATACATTTTGACACTAACCCCTCTATCAGTTATTTTATTATTTATGTCTACTCTCATACATTTGTGGATGTTTCGTGCTCAAGGTCACATGAAGGTCACAGAATTATATGTCATCGTATTAGTCTGGATCTCAATCTGGAGAACAATTTTTTGGCTTATCATAGTATTCGTTCCTTCTAACCGAATAATACTTTTACCTCACGTTGTTTTTATGTCTTCAAAAACAAGTGAGATATTGACGGTGCCCACGTTAGGTGGGACACCCTGTATCTGACTGACCATATATCGACCCTTTTCACTTTTCCGTTTAGCTCGCGAGTTAACTCATGTTTTCTCGTTCGTCGTTGGGGTTCCTCTGTCGCGGTTGCCTCGAAATGCATACTGGAAAAGTCCTCTCTGACTTCGAGCACGCACGAAAATGTCACGGCGAACTCTATTTCTTCCATTTCTTTTTTTGGCGCCATGCTTTTCAAAGAGAAGCTTGTCTGGTAATCTACTTTTCCACGGTCTGCCCTTCACCGGCCGGGAAAATGGATCGACGGATATAAGTACAACAGCTCGTTACCGGAGATATCGAATATTGGAATGCGAAGCTCGATAATTCCCGGCAAAGCCCCCCGGGCCATTCCATTGGCACCGGCATTGGCAATATCATAGCCGGCCTCGGAAATTTTTCGTTTCCCTTATGCGGAGTTGAAATTAAAAGGAGAAAAAAAATACAGATAGGGAGAGATCTCGGCTGTTTCCGCCGATGAAAAAGATAATAAAACCGCGGACGTAAAGAAGAGAACGTCTGGTCGGTACCGATTGAAACTACGATACCATTTGGAGACTTGGATTGCACCGTCGATCAAGATATAGTTTCGATCTGATCTATAATTGGTTATTGGCCTGGAAGACGCGAGGAGTAGAAGGCCTTTGCGATGAAAGTACTCGCGTCAAATGAGAAACTCGAGCCTATGAAATTGCACGTATACCAGCTGCCAGAATTTTATAGGTACCATCTTGTTATACATTTTAACGCTTATCGAAAAAGGATTAGTCTATTAGTTACCAATGAATCTAAAATTGGCTACGTATTTTTTTAAGCAATTCAGATTGCAATTTTTGGCTGGTGTTCTTTTTTGTTTCTGTAATTAATAATGGAAATTATACGAACCTTGATGGAAATGGAAATTCATAATTCGTGTACAGAACATCAGTATTGATTATTTTATTTAACTGGTTTGCCCATATAACGAAATAAAAGATAGTAATATCAATCACAAGACCGAAAGCTACATGTATAATATCGTGGAACGCGGAATTCGTGTGTATACAGAATATGCAAACAAGCAGAATCCGATAAAACGCAAACGTTAATAATGTTTATTACAACGTTATCGTTTATTTAATAACGTCCCCGATAGCAGAGAACGGAGACTTCCGATTAATCCCAGTGAACCAATCTGCAGGAGTCTATATTTCCATAAATGTCCACAGACCAGTGATAAACTTTCCGCTCTATTCTTCACCGTAGTAAATCTCTTAATGGATGAAAAATCATATATCAGTCTGTACTACATGAACCCGAATAATTGAGTAATATAATACTATTTTCGGGGGCATGCTTGTTAGGTAATTGCACCCAGATTGTGCAATATCCTATCTGATCTCGATGGAAAAATCTAAGGAAATATCGAAAGAAAAATTCCAGGAAGAATCGAAGGAAAAGTCAAAGGGAAAATCGAAGGAAAATCGAGAAGAAAATCGGAGGAAAATCGATGGAAAAATCGAAGGGAATATCGAAAGAAAAATTCCAGGAAGAATCGAAGGAAAAGTCAAAGGGAAAATCGATGGAAAAACGGGAAGAAAATCGGAGGAAAAATCGAAGGAAAATCGATGGAATATCGATGGAAAAATCGGAGGGAAAATCGATGAAGACTATAGTACCAATGAGAAAAGGCTGGAAGAAGAAAGGGTAGGTCCGGTTTCTACGGGTGGGGGGACAAGTGTTGCTCGCGCCACTAATAAATTGAAATCGGAACAGTTGTTTCCCCGCTAGTGAGCTCGGAACACAGTAGCTGTGGTACCGGTTCGTTTCGTATTCCGCGAGTCCCGATATACAAGGACCGTGACGTGTTTGCCGGGGGCGTCCAGTTATCAAATATGCTCCCTGAGACGTGCACCAGTGCAAACACGCGGCTGTGTGGAGTGAGCTCTATTCCGTACCACCGCAAAAAGACCGAGTCGGTGAATCGAGACGGCAAAAAACACGGGTAAGCATTGTGCAAAGAAGGGAAAGTCTATCCCACGTGGACCGTCGCGCTGTTGTCCGGAAAGGAAATACTGCCCGTATCGATCCAGCGGACGTTGAGGCACTTCTTTCAATTGAATAATCGAGATTGTGACTGATGTGACCCTCCAACAAAAGCTTATTAATTGTGACAACTACTTCAACACAGGAAGTTACCATCGAATTTCGTTCAATCTTGTTTTATTTCGATTAGTTCAAATACGTTTGACATTTCGGTAAAATACAGAAGGCATCCTATAAGTGGCATCAGCGAAAAATAAAGATTTCAGGTAAATGAAGTATTTATTTTTGAATCGTTTATTACATTCCAATGAGATTCATACTTTATTTTGTTCTATTTTTTGTTTGCCATGCTCTGTGCATATGTATATCGACTTCCAGAAGTCCATTCATTATTATTACACGACGTGATATCGAAGTTACGATTATTTTCAATTAAAGGTAGAATGTAAATATATGTAATGTCTGATGAAGTCTGAAATTTTTCATTATATCGAATTATTGGATCAACAGGAATTCATTGTTGGACGGGGCAAAAATAAACGGATAAGAATTTCAACCACCACATTTATTAATAATTTTTTCCATTCATGAAAATACGATCCAATACAGAAATATGCCGTGGGCTCTTAAATTTAAAAAAAAAAACCTTAACTCGTTGAATTGTATATGGTGAACGTCGAGCCTGTCGCTGCTTCCAGCGCGCAAGCAAATTCCCGTCGGTTCCGAAGTCTTTTAATTAATTTCGTTTTTAATTTCCCCATTGTCACGGGCAGTATTTTACCTGGCCCGGGATCTCACCGCACCGGCGACAGGGTGGGGGCAGGACGAAGGAGAGACGGCGTTGGTTGCGGCCTGGAATTCCCAGCCGTACACACCGGCCGAACATCGTCCTAGATGTTATCCGGCGAAAAATAATAAATCAGCCGTCCGAAATGTCCAGTAATTTAATTTCTAGCGAACTTTTATAACCCCGTGGCAACTTCCCTCCGCTGGGGATCGGTGTGTCCAGCGTCGGAGTATATGAAACGAGATAGCCGTGATAAAAAAGCAGAAAAAAACAAGATGGTAGTTGGGGGGGGGGCAAGGGAAGAAGACTCTCCTCGCTCGTTCCGGCCCCATTTCCATCCCTTTGTTCACCCTTTTTGTTCTAAGAAGTTTTTCGCGGCATTTTTGTCCCTTGGAAAAACGCGGAAAAAAGGCGCGCGCACAGGATGCAGAGTAAGCGATGAATATTCCATGAACGTCGCGCATGAATTTCAATGGGGGGTGGAAGGGACTGTTTACCGGACCTAGACGGGACGTATTCATCGTGTGTTTTAGACTGCCCAAGGTCAGCCATATTTCGACCGTTTTAGTCTTGTCGCTTGGTAAAGGCACAGAAAGACTCGGTATTGTTATTGTTTTCTTTATTTTAATATGTAATAATGTTATATTCATTTATGAACGGGTTGTGAACAGCGTGTCCCGAGAAAGTTCGATTCTTGAGAACCCGGAATGTTCAGTGCGAGATGCTTCATGAATACTCAGTCATCGGTTTTTGTTTTCAAGGATATAAAATATAAGCAGATTGGGGATCGATCGAGATCTCGTAGGTGTACAGGTCGAGAGCATGCGATCCGTGAGAGCCTGACGCAATTTTTTCAAATTTTATGTTTCAATCGCGTATTATAATATTATTTGCTGGTAGTAAAAAATAGGAACTGCCAAACTATCAACTGTTATTGCTGGAAAAAAGGTTACAAGAATATATCGTTGTTTTTGTACGTGCTTTATTTAACTATGGTCAGTATAAAGGTTTATGCAAAGATTTTGTTAGAACTTCAGTCCTTCAACTAAAATGCTTCTCTTACAAAAAAAAATCAGCACTTCAAGTGTCAAGTGTTTTAAGAGTTTCGAAATCGTATATAGTTTCGGATTTGAGTTCTGAGAATTCAAAGATGGGGTTCCAACCCTACCCCTACTGCTAATGCATGAAAGGAGAAGAAGGCGTGAACCAATTCCCACCGTTAGACATTTCCAAGTCGATAGGTGACAAATTCCAAATACAGAAAATCCTCGATGACTAGTCGAAGGCTCCTCGGCACTAACAACGAGAGGTCTCCAGGTGTAACACTGATTTTTTAATGAGGTTTAATACACTGATAGAGCTTGGAATTCCGAAACGAATGATATTTATTTCAGTCGCATATTTATGCGCCATTAGTTTATACAATATTTAATGTTGAATATCGAGAATCCTCCGAACATTCATCGACGATTTACTGTACCAATTCTGGCCGTTCCCACTTTAGCAAATAAACGCGACGAAATGATTCACAGAGGAGGACTACGACGCGTTCTGTCTGTCGTATATGTTCACCTATCGGGACTTCGAGAAGGGCACCCTCGGACTGGCGTGGACGGGTGACTTGAAAAACGCCGGAGGTGTCTGCGAGAAGAATGGGGTGAGTACACTTCACACTTGAAATTTCAGGGACGTAATTACGGCGACTCGTATAAATGACACCTGCCCGCGGCCGTTCACTCGGTCGTCGGCCGGGCTTAACTAACGGCCGTTTCTCGTCCTCGCAGCACTACAGGGGCAGCATGAAATCGCTGAACACCGGCATAATCACCCTCTTGAACTACGGGAAGCACGTACCGCCGACCGTTTCTCACGTCACCCTTGCGCACGAGATCGGTCACAACTTCGGATCCCCTGTAAGTTCGCCAGACCTCATCGAGCAACCTTCGCGTGTGTCGTCGCCTACCCCCGACCACCTATCGAGTACACGCGTTAGAGAGTTTCAGGGGACGACATCGACAACGTTTATTTGGCTCCTGACAAAGGAAAGACCCCGACTGTGCCCGACTTCGATTTTAACGGGATTTTGTAAGATGATAGGGTACAAGTTTCTAACGATATACAGGGTGTTGACGCTAAACAGCCAGTGTTTTTTTTCTTGTAAATAGTAGGGTAAGTGACCCAATTACGTCCGTATTATGGAAGGTTAATTACATTTTTATATCTGAAATAATTTCTTTCAATGAAAATCAGTTCCGCTTTTATTCGGAGGAATTAAAATATTTTCAATTGAAACACTTTCATTTATTTTGTTTCGTGTTTTAATGTTGAATCAGACAGTTTTGCGGTGATTCTTCAAACAGTCTAAGCGAAAGTGTTAAGATGTCCCATATGCACGGAAGTAAAGATAAATGATATACTTTTATGGAATAAAGTAAAAAGAAACGCATACTATATATTATACTTTTAATAAGACACTTCATAATAGATGCAAAATGTACATTGTTTTCGTTCGTTTAGTATTTCACTAATTTTCAATTATTTTGTAAACAATTTATTTAGGGGATTCCAGAAAAATGAAACTTACTAAAGAGCTAAAAAAAAAGCAATTATCAATAATTTCTTAGTATTTCTTAATAAAAACAAGCTCATCGGGCCACTAATCTGTCCGTGATTGGGTCACTTACCCTGAGTATTAGAAAATAAATAAAAGAGGAAAAAGTTTTGTAGCTTTCTATGACCAACATAATAACGTATATTAATTCATTATATTTGCAATATTTTTCGTGAAACGGATGTGACATTTAATATTGTAAACGGAACGCTGTATATTTTTTTATGTCGTATGAAAGTGTGTCATTGGTGTGCTACAGAATAATCTTCACGGTTATACAAGGTTAGAAACGAACGAAATAAATATCGTACAATCACGGTTGGCAAAACTGTCATAAACGGGGATTCCTGGGCACTTATGGGCATCACGTACAAAAATATTCACTGTCCTCGAAACGTTTATTTATTCTAACCCAACATTGGGTTGCAGGTATCCCAGAAAAGAATACAAACTCGCCAAACCTTACTTCTTCTATCTCATACTACCATAAAGTACGCAACGTACACCAACCAAAAACATTTTATTTCCCCTACCCTACGATTATGTACAACCAATCACAAGGTGCTCTGTACCAACAAGCAACTACACGTACACACATCGTGCAGTACACATTCGACAGTCAAAGTGAACACATCCATCGCTTAAATCAAACAGACGTACATACATTACATTTGTCGCACTCGTGAAAGTTCAAGTGAGTTACTGAGTGGTGTTAAATTATTCAAAATCACATAACTTCACCATTCACTGTCACACACCATCTTCCAACGAGCCACGCGATATTAATCTAACAGTGAACCAGTGGGGAATCGCGAGCAAACCGCAACACGGCTAGTTTAGTGAATAACTTCTGCCAGTAGCCGGTTATTCTGTCGAGAATTCGGAAAATATGGTTTCTGATACGTGTGTAAAAAATACTTCTATAACTATGAATACCACAAAAGATTAATATTTACAATAAAGAAGCCACCTCCGATTTCGATGATTTTTCAATACGTTTCCAAGGTCATCACCCTGAGTAATGTTGTGAACGTTTAAGTTGGGGGTCGTCGTTTATAAAAAATTTATTATCAAAAAAATGTTTAGGTAGATAAATTTATAGTGTATCATTTTTCCTCGTGTTCCTTCGAAATCCTAAGAAATATACAGCATAGATTTCAGTGAAAAAGGTATACAGAAACATTTCACACTAAATACAAATTCTCCCTTTTCAAGTAGAGTCTCAAGTGAAGTCTCGAGTACACCACTTAAAGTAGAAGTTCGTCTATTGTTTTAGAGGAGTTATTATAATAAGGCCTATCTTTTTTCAGAGTTAGTTAGAAACAGTTCAAGAAAGAAAGTTATTCAGAGTTGGTCAGAAACAGTTAAAGAAAAACAGTTATTGAGGGTTGGTTAGAAACTGCGCAAGAAAAAGTCATTCAAAGCTGGTTAGAGACAGTTCAATAACTTTTTTACAAACACTGACCCGCGACTAAAACCTTCACAATACTACTCAACGCGATGACCTTGCCAACATGTTAAAAAATCATCGAAATCGGAGGTGTCTTCCGTAATGTAAATATTCACCCCTGAAAATGACCAATTGACATTCACGTGACATCAGGTCATCGGTCATCATAGTGTTAATCGAGATCGTGGTAATATACGTTCGCTGTTCAGATTCAGTTTCAATCACTGTATATTATTCATCAACTCGATTGTTAATTAAACGTGCGCGAAATTGATGTAACAAATGAACCGTTCGCTTATTATTAGACCATTTTGAATGACGTGTGTGCGTGTGTGTGTGACTCGTAGCGAACGTATTAACCCATGGGGACAGGACTAGAGAGTGTTACATTAACAGTCGGGAGTGTGTTAATGATGCTTCTTGCTGGAATAGGATTAACATTCACCTCTGTCCTCCGCGACACAGCACGACCCGGACGAGTGTTCGCCCGGCGGGGAGGACGGAAATTTCATAATGTTCGCAAGAGCCACCAGCGGGGACAAGCGGAACAACAATCGTTTCAGCCCGTGCAGCCTGGTCTCCATAAATCCCGTTCTAAATGCCAAGGCCCGCTCGACCAAAGGCTGCTTTGCCGGTGAGTACGATGCGCAAGGGCTTTCGGAATTTTAATTAGTTTTTGAACACCGTCAACGTGTCCCGTGAGGGCGTCCGTCGAGTTATCGTCTCTCCTGACCCGTGCGGAAACTTTGGTCGCCCGTTAACGAGATTACTCGTTGAATTATTTATACATAAACGATACTTGGCGATCAACGATTCGAATAGTATAAAGGTACTAATATAGCTATCTGTTAGTTTCATTTCAAATCAAATTTGCCTAGGTCCTGTCATCACCTCCCTTTCTTTATAGTTACTGACTCGAATCGTCGAATGAGGTGTAGTTACTGATTCTCCTGGAGAATTCTTTGTTGAGAAATTTCGAGAAATATCGTATAAAATTTGTAAAGTATCAAATAGAAGATTGGAGAACATTTTTACGAAGTAAACAGATACGGCATCATAATAAAAATTTTAACTGTTACATTTTTAAATATTCGTTCATGAAAGTGTTACGATGTAATTCGGACTATTTCTAATAATATACAATTTGCACCGTGATATAACGCTGGCAAGCAATTCTCATTTTCAGCATTTTTTAGAGTTTTCAATCTTTTCCCACTACAATTTTACACCGAAAAATATTTTGGACAATCCCGATTTAAATATCCACTTGCAATAAAATCGAATTGAATTTAACGATACATACAATTATTAACCAATTTCTCGAATTACAGAATAAAATTTCTTTTCTCGAGAAATGAAGAGTATCGAGAAATCAGAAACACACGTGTAGTGTATTTGTCTATCGAAGCTCGATCGTTTCACATAGTAATGTTTCTCCAGAAATGTTTCGGTGGTGTCGACAGACACTTCTTGTCTAACCAAACAGGATGAATTAGGGAATCAGAATATCCGAAAGGTGCGGTTATAGCAACGGACGCGAGCGAATTAAAGAGTTACTCACAGGGCCGTAGGATGATAGATTTAAAAGTTAAGGAATCATGGAGTCTGCAAATTGGGAAATTAGGTGAGTCCGAAGGTAATTAAGGAACTCGGGAGTCGAAAACTTGCGAAGCTGGAACACTCGGTGGCCATTTGGTCCTCGATATATCGCTCTCATCGACTTTCCACCTCCTTTCTCTCTCTCTCTCTCTCAGCAGGGGAAAAAGGGGAACACCGTGGAACAAGCGTAGTTTTTCTAATCTACCCTTACAACGTTAATAAATTTGCAACGTAGGGAGAGGAGAGAGAAAAAAGAAGGAAGGTGGAGAGGGGTCCCCCGATATCGGTGCTCCGGAATATCGATTGAACCCCAGAGGTGGTCTAACTGCAGCTCAATTGCAATTCTAATAGCGAAGTGTACATGGACCCGCGCGAAACTCGTTTCGTACAACGAGCATTCCGCCACCGCGCTGGAACGTATAGGAACAAACGAGCGGACGAATCGCGCGAACAGGAAACAGATACCAGTCGTCAATTGTTAATTACACCGAGAATTCCTCTGGCCCTGGGTGAGAAACGTATCCCACTTGTTCGAAGCAGCTTATTTGTAACGGGATGTGAAGAAAAAACGAAAAGTGAAATTACACCTCGACATGTCGATTATTCTTTAACCCTTTAACGCCCAGTGTACCAGTGCAACACTCATTTTTTAAGTCCGTGAAATTCTGTTGGTTAATATCTAACTTTTGTTAAAAGGATCTGTAGTTACATTGATGTAAAGTAGATCTCCGCGGTTTCAGTTGAGAAATTCAAGTACTCCCTCCAAAAGTATTAAGAAAAGAATGAAAAATGTGGGTCTGTTTAACCCCTTCGTACCGGTGGACGAGATATCTCGCCAGGTGATTTCGTTCATGACATGCTTTGGACGATCTAGTGAAAGCATGTCATGAACGAAATCACCTGGCCAGATATCTCGTCCACCGGTGCGAAGGGGTTAATATTAATATTTTCGATTTGAAAATAACAAGATTCAACATATATGTATCAGTCTGATAATTCTGAAATAATGATTCAAGGGTATGGACGTTAAAGGGTTAATAATTTACTAGCGGGCCATTTCACCCGAAGTCGGATACTGTTTAGAGTAATATTTCGGATTTTCAAATTCGGATATCTTGTAGTCCTTAGTGATAGATAAATGTATCTCGAAGGATTTATCAAAAATTTTTGAATTGTTGATATATAGTGTCAACCTTTTTCAATAAACCTTAACTATTAAGCTAACCAACTGATCGAAAAGAATTTCGTGGGTGATTACATTGGAGATATAAGCGTACTTAATGAAAATTGTGTCGGTTCAAAAGAAATATTTTTTAACCATTTATTTTGCAACTGTTTCAAAGAAACGCAATTTTATAACAGCGGGGCATTACAGAAAAATTACGAAAAAAATGAGTACACAGTCCTATTTGTCTTCTGTGGAGCAATTTTAAAAAATATGTTCGCTTCAAAATTAGCCATGCAGAAAGGAATTAAAGTTAACGCTGCTGGTACCGTACAGCTCGGCGTGTCGAGTCAGTTTGGATCGTCGCAGCGTCCTCAATTACTTTTCACATAGCCAACCTCGAAATGGCCACATTTTTTAAATCTCTTCAATTAGAATTCAAAATACACTTGAATATTCTGTCGTGAGAATGATAAATTTCATTGCACGTAAGAAAGCCTTAACAAAATTATTTACTTAATACAATTTCGAATCGCTAGAATGAGAATATCTACTACTATTCCAGAGCGGATTGCTATGTGGCTGAATCTAATCTTAGAACGCTTTGGGTTAAATCCGAAAGGTTGGGTGAAAATAAACGGTTAAACTGTTTGGATACGCGAATAACAACGGGATTATATTATGTAGAACAGATCTTTATTCTGGAATCGGCTTCTCGATCGAAGCAGTTTGAAACGAAAATAGAACAGGATCGTTTTCGCAAAGGTAGAATAAGAAGCCTGTAAGGATCCGCAAGTTCCGTGGACGATGTAAAAAACAGAGCGACGGCAAGCATTGCTGCATTGGAATTGATTCCATTACGCAGCCGCCGCGGCCGACTTGTTGAGCTTCATTAAATCCAGGATTTCATTAAGCTCGCGGCGAATCAGGTTAACATTTGTTCCGTCCAGTTCGCCTCCGTTTCTCGGTTCGTCCTTTCGAAAATGGGAATAATTAGTTGTAACGTTAGAATTTTTTAGCCTGATCGCCTGATACCTATCGTAATATAATACGTTTCATACGTATCGTGTGCATATTACTTTCAATAATGAGCTGAAATATTAAACAGGGTGCTTCCGAAATTTATGTATAATCGGGTATGAGGTAATTCCTCATAAAAACATAAGAAAAAAAATATAGAATCAAATGTGTTGGTTTGAGGCTTTGTTTTAGAGAAAATTAAATTCGATTCTATTAAAAGTCTGTTCAGAATTTCAATAAAATTTCCGTTTGTTCATTGCATTTTCCGTTTCTACTTACTACCATGTGGAATACACGCGTTTCAGACCAATCTTCGAAATCGAGTTTCTCGAAAACGAAGTCTCGAATGAAAAAAAAAATATTTTTCATTATTTTCGACTTATTTGTTCTCGTAGAATCACCTTATATCTGCTTGTACAAACTTTCAAATACACCCTGTATACTCTTGTCAAACGTAAGAGATCAATGATAAAAACGGGTGAATCGTGTCGGTAATCGTGTAAAGGACAAGTAGAAACGACGAAACTTCCACTCGAGGGACCTAATAGAAAACGTTTGATCGTTCCTGGGATTGATGTTACCCTATGAAACTAACGATTATCCGTTGTAATAAAAATAATAGGTAAATTGATCGGAGTGAAAATGGAGAATCGATGATTTTTCAGAGCCGCAAACTGCCATCTGCGGGAACGGCGTGGTGGAGGATGGGGAGGAGTGTGATTGCGGCTGGGAGGAGGACTGCAACGACCCCTGTTGCCACCCTCAACGACTCCATCATGCCCCTCATGAGATACCTTGTCGCCTTGCCGATGGCGCAGTCTGCAGTCCCAGTCAAGTAAGTGGCCCCTTTCCCCTCTTCCCGCGATTTTCCTTCATTCGCTGACTGCCCGGAAAATGCTTCGTCCCTCCGGTGAATCGTGATTCACTCGGCCATTACTGGATAACGACGACGACCCGTTCTTTCCCCTCTTCCTGGGGATTTCAGTTTGTGCTTCGAATAACGTAACCAATTAATCGGTCCCATCGCGTTGGATATATTCTCCGGAGGCTGAGAATACTCTTGAAACTTTCATGTGTCCTTTTTTTGTTTCAAAGATAACCTCCATGCTGAATATCTTACCGAGCTCGTATTGAATATCTCGAAAGGTTAATGCGTGCTGTGCACCGGAACGCGGATGTGGAATATCGATTCTCCCCCAGGGAGGGACACGGGAACCGTTATTATTTCCGCGCGTCAGCTATTAAATCGTCGAAATTTATCGATCCTACCTGTATCCGAGTGATAATTTTGATGCCCAAACTGGAATTCCAGTTGCCCTGGGTAACGGTATTAAAAGTAGTGAGAAAGCTTGATTGGTCCATTGAAAGATCAACCACATGACAACTTTATCGAATTTTCCATCTAGCGTGTCATCAACATCAAGAAATTCAAAATGAAATTTGTAACCGAGCACGTTTGCCGTCCATTTACGAGTCCCTTACCTGTAACGTCGCCAATTAATAACGTAACCGCCCGGGGTAGGAGGGGCGTGGGGAGGGGGGGGATATGGGGGACGTGTATTGATGTTTATTAATGATACACTAAAGCCGTAATTAAACGCGGAACGCACAGTTACACGCGTCCCGTTCCCGTACGCGCGCACCCCTACAACCCCTCCTCTGCCTCGTTAATCCAACCGACGCCGCTCGTTTGTTCCACGGTTACCGAAGGGAACTTCGATACTCTCCAGGCGAGAGAGAGCTGCGGCGTTGGATAATTAAACGGGCCGCCGATAATGAGTAGACGAACTCTCCTGCGCGGTCGAAATCGAGACGACCGGTAATTTATGCGGCAGGGAACTTCGACGTTCCCACGGCTGCTGATCTGAAGCGGCGTAAACTTCGAATCGAACGCGACATCGGGCCACAGAATACGGAGATCTAACGTCTTGGCGGGAGTTTCTGTAGTATTCCCTGGTCTAGAGAGAGCTCTAGTGGTCTTTCGACTAACGGGGAACAGTGGGACGTAGAAGACTACAAATCGACTCGATGAAGTCGACAGAGATGATTTAGCAATGAAACGTGTAACATTTGCAAAATATAGACGAGGACGTAATAGAATGTACTGGGAATAGTTTTATTCATGACTAATGGGGTACTGGGAAGGCGGAAATAAGGGTGCTTGAGAATTTTCGCGAGCACAGCATTTGGACTCTATAGTAGGTAAAAAAAAGTATTCGCATATCCTTTAAAAGAGAACTTTTTTAAAATTGGACCATTGATTGTTTTTGTGAAGTTAGGATTAGTTTACTAAATGATGTGTAAAAGAAATTTTTTTGTAGACTATAATGTAAATTTAATAAATACATTTCGAAGATTTATGTCAGTTTCGCACATACTGAAATTTTTATTGGGATCGGTTGATACAGATACGAACGACAGGCATCGAAAGATGCAAGAATTTTTAGGTTTTCTGCAGTTTTAGATCAAAAGTCGTGAAAAACTACGATTTTCAACACTTTGAACCGTTTGTATCTCATAGCAACGTTCACCGGTTTCGAAGAAATTTTTAGCATGTATATAACTAACATAAATCTAAGAAATGTATTTTTAAAATTTTCATTCCTACTGTCTCAGATAAAAAGATTATAAAAAGCGACCTTTACTATATTTTCTTCGCGATTCTGATCAATTGCAACTTTTTCAACATTTTGTTTACACTTCATTTAGTAAACTAATCCTAAATTCACAAGAAAACTCAAGTCAATTCGTCCAATTTTCAAAATGTTGTTCTACTTTAAAGGGTGAGCGAAGACATTTTTTAACCACTGTAAATCAACGGTGGGCAAACTGCGTTTCTTAAAGTTGTTCTCTGCGGCTCCCGAGACAATATTGGGTTTCATTGACATTTTTCCTAAATTTTTCTTTCATCAATATCACAATATTTTATTTTTGTGACTCTTGGTATCGAAGAACTTACCCATCCCTGCTCTAGATTGTATAACGTGTGTATGCTACCAGGATGGTCCAACAGTTCTCTTCTGGAAAAATTCGGAAAACGATAATTATCGATGGTTTTCGTAACTCGGAGAATAAAGTACGGTTGCCCCCCTGTATAACACGGGATCGTAGAATACGGAAAAAATCGCAGTGATATTTGATCGTAAGTTTACATTTTCAGATTCAGATCGAAACGATCGCTCGATATATCTTGAATATTCATTTCACATTTTTTTATAATAAATGATTCACAATAAACTACGTAGTAACTTTATATTCATAATAAACATATAAATAACTTCATATTCATAATAAACATATGAATAACTTCATATTCATAATAAATATATATAGCATTATTCCACAAATATGTACATATTTCCATATGCAAACATAATCCGAAGTACCTACGTGATTCCTATAAAACAGAACGTGTATTCCCCCTGTAATAGGGGGAGTCCACTGTACATAAAATTTGCCAATTAATCGTCAACGGAACGAAATAATTCGAAATCCACGATCAATTCAGGAGATTCCAAGGAAATCGTTGGAAAACACCCTGGAAAGTCCCCCCGACATCGAAGGAATGAAAATGTGGGCCACGAAGGTCTAGCCGTTCGAGAAATACAATTAAAGTTTCGAGTCGAACAACAACAGTATTAAATGCCGCCGAGCAGAACAAAGAATTCCGGGAACGTCCGAGAAATATGTGACGGGGGGTGTGTAACGGTCTGGAAAACAAACGATTACAAGGGAAAAAGAGGACGAAGTTTGAGAATGGCCGAAGATCATGTGAAACAACAGAACACAAGGGAAAACTGTGGTTCAATTTCTCTGCATGAATGACACCCACGTTCACCGCGACGACGATCGAAACGAGGAACACTTTCCTACGGTCTCGTAGCAGATCGTATTATGGACTGTAAGCAATCTCGTACACGTACGATTCTTCGTATTGCGAGGGAGAAACTTCCCTGGTCACGGACGGCCATGGAGATGGCTCGAAAGTCTAGAATTAGTTTCCAGGTATGTTCAACGGTACGTAGAAGCTAGTTTCCAGATACTCGTGTGTTATCGGCGACGATGGTGGCAAACAGAAGGGAAGGATGGAGTGAGGGATGGAGAGACGAGTTTAATTTCGAATGTTAGTCGCCATTCGCGTGTTCCCAGCCTCTCGCGGACGGTGTTCCCCCGGCGAATGGGGACTAATTAATCAAACCAGAATCGAGGCGCGCAGCCAACCACCCCTGGACAGGGAAGGCGCGAATAGGAAACTCTGGGCGAAGCTGAAAACAATCAATCTCGTGAAATCGTCGGCGGTATGGTGGTCGCGAGGCGAACGTGGTTCGATCGTTCCTTCGAATTTCATCGGGACGGATGAAATTTTCATTTTTCCCAATTCATCGAGCGCGTACAGTGATTTTTCTAGTCATAATTTAGCAGGGCAAAAGTCGGAAATACATACAAAATTAATGAATCTCTATCATACCAGAAGATATTGAGTCAGAAAAATGGGAGTGGTATAACAAGCAATTTTATATATGTATTTAACAGAAGTAAACAGAATAACTGTGTTTAGCGACCGATTGTTACGATGCCTCAATATTAGCTAAATATCAGATTTGTTCGGGTTCTATTAAGATTGAAAATTTTCGCAATTTAAATAATTGATTGCAGATCGTACAAGTACGTAGTAAGTCAAGTCTTCAGTCATGAATATTTTAATTTCCAACGAATAGAAATAAAATATAGTCAGAGAGACGACAAAGTTTTTCAACAAGTTTCTTCCGGAAAGCTTTAGATTTCCAGGAACCTAACAGAACATAGAAATTTTCTAATTGTTTTATTCTATTTCCTGTGTAGAGAATATACATTGACAATTTATAGCAGCAAATATTTGCAATTCTCGGCTGCAAGAATCACGACGCTACAGCTCAAAATGCGTGATTTATTTAAAGTCAAGTATATATAAAAATGTTTATCTCTAAAATGCAGTTTTCCACATCCGAAAAAATCCTAGAATACGAATTTCTGTTTTCAAAAAACCCCAGCAGGCTCAGGGGTAAAAGTGTTTAAGTGTGATGCAAGAAACAGAACAATCGCGGTTCACTGCTTGAATTTCATGTTGATGTTGTTTATTTAAACAAATAATGAATATTTTCACTTAATCGATGATTTATGCATTTACCACCACCACTGACTTTTGTCTCCTTAGATTGCTGAAATAGTATAGCGGTGGTCAGCATTTCGGAACGTCGTTCAACGACCACGAAGCCACACCCGTAGCCCTTTTCTTCGTGGTCACGGGACAGGCCGAACGAACTTTTTTTTTTCAATCACGCGAAAGAGTTACAAGCGGTATTGTTCAGAGCCGCCGCGGTTACAATAGCCCGCAATTCCCCTCACTGCGTGGTTCGTTCCCCGTCACTCTCCCCTAATTATGCGGCTGGAAGAACTGAATGGACCGTAATTATAAAACCGTTTTCCCTTCCACGACCCGAGTCAACCGTTACACGATTTCGACGTTATTTCCCGGGGATCGAGCCAACCGTTACACGATTTCGACGTTATTTCCCGGGGATCGAGCCCGTCGTTGTGTCGTCGAACGCTCTCGTTACGCGTGAATAGAGTCGGATGAAGAGGGTGGAACGTCGTCGCGATGATTGGCATCGTGGAAACTTTTCCAGGATATACACTGCCGTTAATAAGTATGAAGACACCTGGTTTATACATGAATAAAATTCAATGTTCCATAAAAATTATACAGGGTGATTAAAATAATGGGTTCGTAACTTCTAGGGTAAATAGTACTCGCTAGACGATAAAAGAAAGTCCTAGTATGTATGAAAATTAATA